CCCCAAAACCCCAAAACCCCAAAACCCCAAAACCCCTTTATCAGGTTTTCTGTTTGAAATTAAGAAAATAATTTAAATTTAAACATGTCCAGAGGTCACAACAAATCAGAAGGACTTGCGTTGAAAATGGCTAAGAGGACACAGGAATATCTCAAAGCAGCCAATGCAGCAGCAGCTAAATCGATTAAAAATGTGTCTTACAGTAGTCATTTCACAGAAACCCCAAATATGAACGATGCTTATGAAAGCAAAAGTCAGGGAAGAATAGGCGAGCACATCGATATAGCCCCGTTCTCTCAGTCCCAAGAGAATGAGTCTTTCGAGCAGGATCGGTATAAGAAGCTCGTTCAAGGTAAGCCCGCCTACTTAACTCCTAGTTTGCACTTCCCAGGAGACTTACATTAGAGATCTTGAGTCCCAAATAAAATAAAATGCGAGTTGACTTCACCGAGGAGCTAGCTAAACTAAAAGAGAGCGAGACTAGTCAAGGCTATGAGCTCAAAGAAAACGAGTGGGAGAACGAACGCAAGCTTCTCATGAATCTCATCGAGAAGAACCAGAAGTATGCTTACAACGCACAAGAAAAGCTTAAAGAAGAGAAACAGCAATTTGAATCTGAGCTTACTCAATCCAAACAACAGTTTGCAGAGAAAATCGAAGAAATTGAGATTGAAAACACCAAGCTCAAGGACCTCCTCGATAAAGTCCAGAACTCTGAAGAAGAGAAAGGAGATGAAGTTAAGATGGTCAGAGCTAACCTGATCGAGGAGATCTTCAGAGTCCAGAATGTCCACCAGAAGAACGAAGATGAGCTAAGAAAAGATAATGATTTGATATCTCAAAAGTACTCTCAAGGTATTCAATCCTTTAAAGAAACCTTAAAACAAGCTGAAGAGGACAATAACATGCTTAGAAAAAAGATAAATTCAATAGTTGAAGAAAACAAGAAATCAGAAACTGACTTGATCTACCAAATCAACGAACTCAACCGTGCTAATTCGAAGTTGACTAAACTTGTTGAACAGAAGCACCAAGAGTTTCTCCAAAAGTCCAAGACTGAAGATACACTCAGAAAATCAGAAATGTTCACTACATACTCCGAGAAGGACTCTGTTGAGAACTTTGACTCAAGCATCGGTCAACTTATAGCTTCTTCGAACAAAACAGTCGAGGCTTATGAGAAACAGCTCAAGGAAAAGACCAATAAATGGAAGAAAGAGAAACAGAAATTACTAGAAGAAATAGAGTCCAGAGAGACACTTTATGCTGAGAAATTGGCCCTGAAAGATATGGAGTTCGATCGCATCAAGTCCACCTTTGATAGGCAACGCAAGCTTGAAGATACCAAAAATCAGACCTTAATGAAGGAGAATAAGATCCTTGACAGGTCATTGAAAGGTACACCTTGTTTTAACCTGTAGATATCAACAAAAAGTTAAAGGAGAAAATGAAACAAACAAAATCTCCTGGCCCTAATAAGGAGATATTGCAATCAAAACTAGACCAACATCAAAAGCGCGAAGATCTCCTGAAATCAGAAATTGGCGATCTCAGGAAGGACCTCATTGATTTACAAACCAGTTACCAAAAACGTGAAGAGACTTACATCCTTGAGTCTAAGACATATCTGGACCAAATAGAATCTGCAAATGAAAAGTCCTTCGAAATGCTTAAGCCGATACAACGTATAGATAACAATTACTACACTTCTGATAAGTTAAAGAAGGAAATCACAAATCTCCGAAAGCAGATTGAGATTAAAGACCAGATCATCAATGATCTCAAGGACATAGAAAATATGGACAAAAGAAAGCAGAGGAAGGACATCCAACACATCATGGCAAAATTCAGAGAAACTATCGGTATGTAACCTACCTGAGTGCCTTTTCATAGATTCGTATCAAACCCAAATTGAGAAATTTAATAAAGATCAACCTAGTATAAACCAGATCGTCCTTGAACTCAACACTAAGCACAACAAGGTCGAACAAGAGTTACTCGATCAGCTGACTCAAGCCAAGGAAGAGATCTTCAAAATGAAGGAAAATCAAAGAAATTTGAAGGCTGAGAACACCCAAGAAATTGTTGATGAGCTCGAAAATAAGCTCGTTGTCTCTAATAACGAGCTTGATCATGCCAAACGTAACTTGATCCAATATATCACCTCCTTGAACGAACTCGAAGACCTCATAAAAGACAATCAGTCCATCACAATAGGAGAAAATGAAGAAGTCCAAAGACTTAGATTTGAAAATGAAAGGCTTAACGAAGAGAATTCCTCCCTGATCGAGTCCAAAAAGGAGATGGATGAGTACCACCAGGGCCAAATTGAGAATCTACGTCGAGAGAACCAGGCTCTCAAAGGAGACATTACCAACCTTGAGAGAGAATATGATAAGCTTTCTCTCAAGATAACCACTGTGCACAAGAACCTTGAAATCTGGAGAGACAGAGAGCAGACAATTCGTGAGAATTATGATAAAATTGAACAAAAGCTAAAGTCTGCATTGTCTCTTAAGAAGAAGTCCAAAGAATTCTCCAAATCAGAATCTGTCCTAAAACAAGAAGAAGATACCTCATTTAAGGAAGAACATAAGAAAATGGAGAAGTTGCTTAAGCTCTCACAAGAGAAATGGAATGAAGAGAAAGCCACCCTTAATGAAGAGATATTTCACCTAAGAGCAAGACTTACACATTGTGAGGAATCTTTTGTAGATATCACAGAAAAGTTAGTTGGAGAGCATAAAACAATCAAGGAAACAAGGTAGGTTGCTTGAGAGATATTAAAGAGTCTATTAAGATCTTAATTATGTTGGTATGAAATCTTTCTTTTGTTCTTTTACCTAAGAGATCTTAAAACTACTAAGATACATAAAATCTCATTCTCTTCCAAGTTTCTCTTATTCTTCAGCTTAAATTAATTTCCTAACTCATAAAACTCCTTCCTAACCTGCCAAAACTCTAGGCTTGCCATTACAAACCAATCAGAGCAGCTAAAATCTCGTATAATAGAGACTGAATCTCTTCTAACCTCTCTAAAACAGGAGCGCGAAACCTCCAAAAATCAAGAGAACACCAGAGATCAAGAATTAGTGCTCGCCCTTGGAGATGACATTGCTTTCCTCAAGAACAAACTTACCGAAGAACAAAACCTCCACGATGCTGACCTCAAACTACTCCAGAAAAACTACGATGAGAAGTTGTCAGCCCAGAGTTTGAGAGAACAGGTGCTCCATGAACAAATCGAGGAGCTCAAGGTCGAGCTCTCAGAGACTGAGCAAGCCTTCGAGTCCTATAAGTACCTCAACCAGAAGGAAAATGCTAACTTGACTTCCGAAATAAATCAGCTCCGTAGACACTCCAATGTCAGGCAAGACCAGGTTCACAGAAGGGAAAATAAGCTTAAGGAAGAAATTGAGAGGCTAAAGAGAACTCTTGAAGACAGGTATGCTTTCTATGTTCATCTCTAGTATCACCATTCAGCAGTCTGAGTCCATGAAAGTCGACTCTCAAAAACAGATTAATAAGCTTAACCAAGAACTTGGCAAGAAAGCAAGAATCCTACAGGAAACTAAGCGAAAATTGAGAAAAGAGCAGCTTAGGATCGCTGAAATGACCAAAAGAATGAAATCATTTGATCTGAAATCGATCAAATCCGATTTTATTTACCTCAAAGAGATTCAAAATGCTCAGAGCACTTCCCTGATTGATGAGAAAGTAGCACTCTCCTCTCTTGTGAACAAGTTACAGCAGTACGTGTTTGATATAGAGCAGACAGCTCTGAAGGAAGAGCTTGGCATTGAGAATACCTTGGGCGCTCCCATGGAGAACTATGGTTACACAGCAGAAGACATCAATTTTAAATCGCCAGTTAAACAATTGGATTCCCCAGAGTTTTACCCTGAAATTAATGATGACGATGAAGAGGAAACAGATACTTTATATCTAGGTAACACTCGTGAACTGGAAGAAAGACTTCAAGAATTCAGAAACATTAAAGAGAATGCAAGAGAGCTTGAGACCAGTCTGAAACAAGGAGATAAATCACCCTCTCCGCTATCAGACAATACTTCCTCTGTTAACCAGAACTCTAGTGGCTCTTATGCTCAGAAATACATGAAAAAGAAGAAGACAAAGAAGAGCAAGGTTCATTCCTAAGTAAATCAATTCAATATTTGAATAAATATCTGGGGTTTTGGGGTTTTGGGGTTTTGGGGTTTTGGGG